CTTTGGATATGTAATACCAACTCTTTAATTCCCCTACAATAGTCAAAATTTATTGCCCCTTAAAACAGTGGCCAGCAACCTTACAGGCCATGGGTCAGAACAACCTGGCTCTGGTCCAGCATGGGCTAGGTAGCTTTGGTGCATGAGCAGCAGGGAACTTTCCCTGTGCTACTCCAGGGTCAGGCAGCTGGGAGCTATGTCTATACCACCAGTGCTGCTCCCAAACCCTCCCTCCCTGCTCCCCAGCTGTGCAGGCACAGTTTCCAATGAGCATGGAGCTGTACCAGGGCCAGGCCACTAGCAGCTGTGTTTATGCTATACTGGGGCTAGGCAGCTAGAAACTGCATCCATACTGACACTGCATCTCCCCAGCTCACCCTCTTCCCCCTGTCACCTCCCAGATGTGGCACAGGTGCAGCTGGAAACTGCCTGGCTCCTGTGCAGCTCCCTACTGGCTGGAGGCTGCACCCATGCCACATCCTTGGGGAGAGTCGGGTGGTCTGGGAGAACAGCGGTGGCATGGGAACAGTAGGAAATATCCTGGCCCTGGCACAACTCTATGCTGCTCCACTCTGATACAGGCATAGGCAAAACCTTCTGGCTCCATGGGCTAGATCCAGCCTGTAGGCCATGTGTTGCCGACCCCTACCTTAAAATATGTCTTAATACATAATTTTTTAAGTGAGACCTTAAGTGTCAACTGCAAGGGTTAAACAGATTTTCTTTGGGCACCAGTTTTAAGTAAGGGCCTGTAAGTATTTTGTAAGTGGTTTGGCTGTATTACTTGGTAAGCATACAAACCACCAATGCCCAAGGGAGTCTGTCTCCAAAGCACCCTCACATGTACTAAAATAGGAATTCACTACAATTTCTTTCCACTTTGCAGAAATGTCTTGCCTTATGGAAGCTTTGGAAGATAAGCGTGTGAGACTGCAGCCTGAATGTAAGAAACGCCTTAATGATCGGATTGAAATGTGGAGTTACGCAGCAAAGGTGAGAATGAAGCCAAATTTTAAAAATCTGCCTTGTTTTTGGCATTGGTTACTTCATTATTCTGAGCAGTAGTGGATTTAGTTCATGATATGTAGTAGGGCTATGCAAAGCTTCGTTAGCAGGTTTGATTTTTGGAGGAGATTCGGCCCGATTTGGCAGCCAAATCTCCGAATTCAACTGGAAACCTCAATCTATTCAGAGAGATTTGGAGAGATTCAGACATTCGGCCATAGACTGTACAGGCAGGCACTAGGCAGGAGCAGCTGGGGTAGTGGCCAGACAAGCCCAGTCTTGAGCTGGCAGCCTCGGGAGAAGCCATGGCTTGTCCAGCCGCTCCCCCAGCTGCCCCCTGGCAGGGGAAGGCAGACAGTGCTGGCAGTCCCGGGAGAAGCTGTGGAGGAATGATCAGGGAGCTGGGAGATCAAACTGGGAGCTAGGGGAAGCCCCTATTCATTTCCCCCAACCCCCAATCATTCCTTCAGCTCCCTGATCATTCCCCCCAGCCCCTGTGGCTTGTCCGGCTGCCCCCCCTGCGAGGGAGTGGTAGGCACTGCTGGCAACCCTGAGAAGCTGCAGGGAATGATTGGGGAGCTGGGGGATCGAACTGGGAGCTAGGGAGAAGCCCCTGATCATTCCCCCGGCTCCTGGGGCTGCCAGCTCAAGCCAGAGCTTGTCTGGCTGCTCCCCCAACTACTTCCGTCAACACTGCCTGCCTGTGTCGTCTATGGCTGAGTGTCTACAGATTTGGATGAATCAAATCGGGACAATGATTCTAGTCACCAAATTGAATTGCCATCCCCCTGAATCTGAAGCAAACTTTCTGCTTTGCCCAGAGTATGTAGCTCTTAAGATTATCAGTCTTTGAGTCTCTTGGGAGAAGTTGACAAGGACAAGGAGATGAACCTTCAAACTACAATCTGGAAATTTCATTAATAGCATAGATCCAATATGCTCCTGAAATAATGCTCTTTGGTTGTGAGGGGCTAAAGAACTTGTGTGCTTTTGACTGTTGAAATGACAAATACAAATGAGTGTCAGGACAGTCTTTGGGAAATGACTTTTTTCTGCAAGCAGTTCAGTTAGTTCAATCAATGCAAAACAGGTTAAATAAGTGAGATGGTAATGTAGGATTCAGCATGCTGCTTCTGTCTCTTCTGATTTTGCTCTGTATAGGTATTGCAGCACATTGTATGTTTAGAATCAGGATGTGTTCATAATACTGTGCACAGCAAGGTGAATAAAGAGAAGCATTCTTAGCTTACTCCATTAAAATAGAAAGGGAACACATTGTATTCTATAGTCATTTTTTGAACATCTGCATTGCCTTCCTAGCAACACCAAAATCAAACTGCCCTCGGTGTTTATAGGGACTAATTTATAAAAAGGCAGAGTGCCAACAAAAAAGCTCTGTGGATAAGACGCATTGGTCACAGTTGACTGATCTGCATAGAAAAGGCTGAATATGGGGGAACAGCCACAGGAAGCAGCTAGGACATCTCCAGAGAAGTTGCCGCACACAAGAGACTTTCAGGCAGCTAATAGCTTAATAGCATTCTGCCCAGCTGATCCTATCTTTTGAGCACTCATTCTTGCAGGCTTATCTGGATATCCCACTGCTTGTGTTATGTCATTGTGGTTCAAGGGAAGTTCAGTTGCAAGAAAAGAGCATGCTGGATGTTTAGAGGAGATGAGCGGAGACTCTTCCCAGCTCTTAGAAGAGCAGAGTTCTAAACTGCTCATGATTGGCTTGGCTAAGATCAAAGTGGAAACTGAAGTTCCAGGTCCAAAAAAAGCTCCCTGCATCCATACCTATGTTTAATTACTCTTTCCTCACTCCTAGGTTGCCCCAGCAGAAGGTTTTTCTGATCTTGCCATGCAAGTTATGACTTCTCCGTCCAAGAATTACATTCTGTCTGTGATCACAGTTGGCATCTGCGTACTCTTCCTGATCGGCCTGATGTGTGGACGCATCACCAAGCGGGTGACACGAGAACTCAAGGACAGGTAGAGCCTGGACTGCCTGCTGAAGAAATGCCTGCCTAGTGCCCAGTTTGTACAGTTCTCTTCTGTATAGCCTACCCATCCCTTCTTGTGAGAGGAGAATAAAAAAAATTAGAACAGCAGCAGGTGTTGGCTCCGTTTTCCCATCTTGGATTTCATCCATGGCACCTTCATCATCCTATGACAGTTTGTGTGCAGCATTGGCAGCCCAGCCAGCAGCTTTTGTTCCCCTTTGTTAGCGGACTCTCGTTAACCTGCCTGTAGACGAGTCTCTTTATTGTACTGTTGGAACTGCCTTCACTCTAAATCAGACTGACATGACCTGCAGCTCAAGCAGTTTTTAAGTACATTTTTAAAGGAAGAAAAAATACATCTGCATACCAACCATGATTTAGGCAATGATTCATACTGGCATACATTCATGTTCTGTGACTGGGTAAACTTGAGTCAGGAAATAGAGGGTAAATTGCATCTCACCAGAGTTGGCCTTGTTTTGGACATCTTACTCATCCTTTACCAAGCATCTTCAGAGTAGTGTCACGGACAGCTTATGGACAGTAGGCAATGATGTCACCCTCTATTGAATGTCCTGCTTGTGTTACTGTGGTTGCTAAAAAAAAAAAAAAAAAATGCCCTCCAACTCCATTTCTTCCTTTGTCACTCACAGGATAGTATAAAATGGCCAGGGTTAGAAACTCCAGTGATCTTATCCTCATATGAGCAGGACAGCCTTTACTTCATTAGGCTTGAAAGATGGTATCAAGACCAGGTGCAAAAGAGCCAGTCAGCAGCATACAATGCAGTAAACATCCCAGCTACCTAGCCTGTCAACCTGTATTCATCACTGGCAATTTGGTAGAAGTTAAAGTTCCTTTATTACACTTCTGTAGCCAAGAAGACCATTTTGAGCAAGTCAGTCAAAGATGATGGTAGTGACATATTGGTGACTCTGGTTTGCCCAGTGATGCTTTATTGGATTAAGGGTTCCAGTTTTTTTGGTAAAAGGATCATTTAAAGATTAGTTTTGATTCATTGTCTTGAGTTAAAACATTTAAAAAAAAACAAAACTAAATTTTTGGTTGATAGGTACAGAATCTGGCATCTATGGATGTAGGACAGAGGAGCTGGCCCTAAATATCAAGCAGCAGAGATTTGGGGAATATAATGTGTGAAGGGGAGAAATGTATGCATCATTAATGGGAATAAGTTTTTGTGGTTGCCCATTGATGTGCACAGTTAGGTTATTGTTGCATTTCCAGAAGTTGATGCCCAGGCTGACTTCCCACCTCTAGCAAGGTGTTTTGCAGAAGTAGTTCCTTTGGCGGCAGTAACTTACCTTCTTTGTTCCTCAAGAACATGTAAGAGTGGAGCTTTTAGGACCCATAATGGTTGGGATCTAGGATACATTAGGCTGAGTGAAAATGATTGCACAAGAGGCAGCATGTACAGTAGGATATATACTTTTAATAACCTGTTAGATGTGTTGACCTGTGTGTGCTGGAGTAAAAATATGTGCCTAAACTATCCAACTAGGCTAACAGTTGATCTTAAATGATCATAACATTTTTTCCTCTTATTATTGCACTGCTAGGTAAAGTCTGAAATTACCAATGTTTTTTGCATTGGTCCAGTACAAGATGGAAGCTTTTCTAAATGTGGACCAGCTGACTCTAATTATACTATGTGTACAGACTGATATATAAAATACTGAGACTGCTTTTTGCTTCCCTTCTAAAATGCTGGAGAGGTGTACAAATTTAGGTTGTATGTAAATGGCTGTATTTGCCCTCCCACTTAGAGGTGCAGAAAGTAAATTATTTGAGATACAGTCTTAGTTGTGTGCTGTTGACTGATTTTAAAAAAGCTCATCTAGTAAGACTTGTTGGTGTCTGGAGTCTTGGACCACAAGAGGCAAAGGATTATTACAACTGAGCAGGTGATGGACAAAACCTTAATAGCAAAGAAGAGTCCACAGAAGAAACCTGGCATCTTGTTTGATATGCTGTAGATTTCCAGATGGATTGCTTGTTAAATCATCTTGAGAAGAGGAATAGAGCGTGAATTTCCCTCTACTTTTGTTATTGCCAAATATGTAGCTTCAGATGAGACTTACGCAGAATCAGTGAAGATGGAGTAGAAAGGGGGATGGCTGGTCACATTACTCTTGTAAAACTGGAAGCTTGAAAAGGTATATGACACCCACTAGAATTAGTTTGGCAGCTGCAATAGCATATAGTTTAAACTGACACTCCAGACAAGTTGTTTCAGTGCTTGGTGACTGTCAAGATTACCAGAGCAGAGGAAGATTCATAGTGCTGGAGAGTGGGAGGAAAAAACAAACGAGACTACATATTCTCCTACATACACAGTATTGCTTATTGGGTAACTAGCACTGTTGCTTGTATTTTCCTTGGACAGAATTAAATGGCTGTCCAGAGACTTTTTTTTTTTTTTTTTTTAACTATTGTGACTGTTTTTGAGGAAGCATTTGTATCCTGATCATTTTGAACAGCCCAAATGAAACTGTTCTGCACCATTACATATAGCATTTTCCAGTAAATCCCAAATGAAATTGTAGTGAAATACCATAGGTTTGTCAACCATGGTTTTGGCTGTGAATCTTGTAGATTGAAGTTGTTTAGGGAGGAAGAGAGTTGCTTTCTTTACTTAAGTTCTTATTTGAGTAGATGGGAAACTATTGATTGTTCTTGTCTTATGCTGGTTTGGAAACAGAGTCCAACAGAGAGCATGCTGGAGTGATGAAAATGGACCAGTCATCTCTTTGATGTTATAATGAAGAATAGAGTCCAGAATTGAAGAGTGAACATCCATTTTCTGGGGTCAGTTTTGTTCTGTTCACTTTGTAGGGTCACTTCTGTTCAGTATGTGTGTGCATATGTATGTTTTTTGAATGTGGTATTTTCTGCTTCATTACTTACTTATAATTACCTGTGGTCATCATCCCTTTCATAATGTAGTGTTGAGCTCTCCCTTCGGGGTACTGCCAACTAGATTGTTCCACTGGCATGAAGTCTTTGCTGAGCAAATATCAGGTAGGAGCACCACGTTTTGTGAATGGCATTAAACATGTGCAGTCTACCTAGTATGTTTGCATTCCAAAGGTTACCCAGAGGCTTGGTTTCAGTGTTAGTGGGAGAAGAGGCAGATGAAGGTTTTAATCAAGTCAGAAAGTATGACATGCAGTATATTTCTAGGTGTCTGCCTTCTGTGACAGAAAAAATGTATAAATTCAAAACAAAAGAAATGCTCATATCTTGCAGGGAACTTGCAGCTTATGACTCTGGATGGAGAGCTCTTGTAATTGGCTGCCAGAGGACAAACATTGCATAGTGATTAAGGTTTACCTTCTGCTTACCTTGTTAGTAATAGGACCCTGACACAGTTGCCTGCTGGACAAGAGTTGCATGCTCCCTTGTAAGGATATTAGAACTCTCCCAGTGCAGAGTATCTAGAGGTGCCTTCTTAGTTTTTTGCTGTTAGCCTACATAACTACAGAAGACCTATTGGAAAAACATAAGAAAATAATCAATCCTATTTGAACGAGGATCATCCTGAGGGCTGACCCTTAATCTCTGCTGTCAGTCCAGTGCCTAGGTCCATAGAGGAGTATCATTTCCTATTGCAAGGATGGAAAATAATGATTCTAAGAAATGCAATCCTGTCATCCTGAATTTTGGGAAGGTTGTTTTTTTAACTTATTATTTAGGATTAAGGTATTAAGGAATCAACTCTTTGGAAATTAACCATTTCAGAGGGGACTTGGAAGAGAACAGCTCCTAGATTGGAGAGGGCTGCTTTGCTGTTTCTCAAGGTTAGCTCTAATATTCATCAGCCCTATTCTCAGTATTGATTTGGCTTTACAGTCTTTGAGAGAGAGGCAGTTGCTTTTCATTCCGTGAGTCTCTCATGGATGAGAATTCCTTCTCTGAAGTGTGACCTTGGCATTGTAGAGCTGAGGCTTCTGTGGATGACTGGTGGCATCACTACAATCAAAGAAGTGATAGTAAAGGGTGTCACTCTCCAACATCCTGCCTTCCCTTCCTGCTGAGATGTCTAACAGGATACCTTATTTTTACCATACTGCCCATGGCACGTGTTTAGATAAGATGGGAAGGATTTGTGTCCCAATACTTCACTCTGGTTTTTTGGGGTGGTATTTGCTTGCATCTTTTTTTATGAAAATAGCCTTATTTATTGTTACTTAATGGGTTACATTTTGATGCTTGATTTTTCTTTTTCATGTTTGCTTCTTTCTGGTTAGTTGTCTGCGAGTTCTCTTGCCTGTCTACTTGCCTTCCCATCTCACTATTTGTATGCAAAATTGCTGCAGTAATGGATGTGGATGGAAATAACATTATTTCTCCTTTCTTGCATGTAACTCAGTCAGTCTCTTGGGAAACAAGTGCTAGTGTCCCTCTGCCACTGCAAAATAGCTCAAAAACTATTGCAGTCCAAGTAGTTCTCCAGCAAGTGATGCATACAAGGATTCTCTCCAGAATATGACACTTGCAGTCCATAGAGATGGAACCGTCTTGACCCAGACAAAAGCCGTTGTGAGTTTGCCCTATGAAAATGCTGTATATTGGGGAGAACTGAATAGGCAGCAGCCTTCTTCAAAGGATAGTTATTAGTATAGATGTTTTCCTTTGAGGTGGAAGCAGTGGAGAATAAAGTGTGATATTCAAAGGCAGAGAACTAATTCCTGCTGTAGTGTTATCACATTCAGGTGAACTTGCTTCAGTTGGATGGTGATTTCTCTGTTAACTCCAAACTTGGTACTGTAGTTTAGGGGTTTCAAATATGCCTCCAGTCCTGGGCTGGATCCAGCTTGGGGCACAGAGGGCTTCGGAGGTAGCAGCTGCAGCTCCTGCCCAGTGCATGCAGCAGCAGTGGTGGTGACAGTGCATGCCGTGTACCCCATGCTAGAACTGAAACTGCTGCTGCCACCATGTATTTCATACCAGGGTGGCAGCTCCTGCTCCAGAAGGGAGAACATGGCAGCAACAGCTTTGAGTCTGGCATGGGGTAGAGACCGCAAAGGAGCCAGTGGCTGAGAAACTGAGGCTACAACAGTGGCCATGGGCAAAGTGGCTAGAGGGTAACCAGGGCTGTCAGCCACTACTTATCCTCCTGCCAGTAAGTACCATGTCCACTGCAGCCCAAGGGCCCCAAGTTGTCAAGCCCCTCCCCCCCCAGTCATGCCCTGCAACTTCTGGTGGCCAATTGGTGGGCCAGGTACAGTGGCTCTGCAGGCTGGATCATCTGCTTGACACCACTGCTTCAGTTCCAAAAATAGACTGTAGTGCTGGCTCTCCAGTTTTTAAGTTAATTTTCAGTTGAGCAGGTATTTCTGCTATTAAGTATTTTCATGCTTGTGTAAGCTATTTCAGTGATTGGATTAAACCTCAATGGATTTTTACAATTTGGCCTTTATCATCTTTAAGAGCAGCTTGCAAACACATTTTTGTACTGATGCTTCCATTTTCTGAGGCTGGAAATGAGCTCAGTTCTTTACCCCAATGATGGGCCACTGCTACTACAACCAACTAAATGGGACCCAATTCAGTCGAGGCTCATTTGAGGGAGGGAAGACCAGCATTAACTGGTGCAGCCAAGGTCTAAAACTAGTATAGTTGCTTTTGTCCTATACTGTTAGGCTTCAGAATTCTGCCTACTGGATGTGATGATGTATGTTACTTGGAGAATCTATCTGCAAGACTGGGGAGCAGTGTCTTGTTGCCTGTTCTGGATAAAAGCAGTCTGTACTACTACCTCTTTCCAAACCAAACCTCCTCCTAGTTTGATTTTTGTTCAGTTGTTTGAAAGCAAAAGATCTGTGTTCTCAGATGGGACTCTTCAGTTTTAAGTGATCCTAGTTATACATACCTGCTGCATTCAGAGAACAAAAGTGCTTAGACAGCTGTTAGTTGGGAAAGTTATTAGGATGGAGAATACAGAGGTGTAAATTTTTCCCATAAGGTTATTCTTTGAAACTTGTACTTAATAGATGCAGTCAGGAATCATTTGACTAATGTTCTGCATGTCAGACTACAAAGAACACTGACAAGGTGGAGAGGTTTGTTTGTATGAAGTGGGGATGCATGTGTTTGCACAGGGAAGGATCTGAATAACTTTCAGTAGTAATGTTACAAGCCTCCCTAGCTCCAATGCACAAAACAGACCCAAGCAGGAAGTCATACTGTACAGCAGAATCTGTTTGAACTTCATTTTTTAAACATAACATTAACAATTCTTTTTTGCAAATTGTTTGTTTTTCCTTTATGTGTATAAAATCCTGGCCGTTTCTTGTTTTTACATGTTCATGCTGTGTAATTTTGAGATGTTACTGAGATTCTGAACATAATGTGCATTTTTTCTGTACAGATGAAATGGGAGAATTTAATAAAAAAAAAAAGTCTGCAGGTTTTTTTACTTGTTGTTTTTATCTTTTTTTTAGTTGAGCTAAAAGGAAATCACTGTCCATTTTCCCTAAGTGAAACTTTCTGAAGCCAAGCATCAGCCATACAGTTATGTTGCGTATCAAATAACTATCAAGGTAAACCAAACTGAAAAGCCTTTTAGAAATGCACCCCCCACCATAAACATCATAATAGTCTACAATTTTTCATGCCCAAAAGCAGTAGTACAGCAATATCCTCATCTAAATCCTTGCAACTGATAGTTGCTTTCTCATTATATTAGAGCAGGAGTGGGAAATTATTTCAGCTGGAGGGTTGCTTTAATGAGTTTTGGTGAGCTGTCAAGGGCTGCAAGTGTGGCCTTGCCTCTTCACAAGCGCCCCACCCCCTGGTTGCCATCTTGGGACTAGAAGTCCCACCCCCTAACCCCTTCCAATGGCAAATGTAAGTCATAGAATCATAGAAGTCAGGTCAGAAGTCCGACCCCCTGCCTGGGCAGCAGAAAAAACTGGGCTGAAAATGATCCCAGCTAGGTAGGCATCAAACGGCCTCTTAAACCCCCCCAGGGTAGGAGCCAGCACCACTTCCCTTGGAAGTTGGTTCCAGATCCTAGCCACCCTGACTGTGAAGTAGTTTCATAGTTTCTAGGGTCGGAAGGGACCTGAGCAGATCATCTAGTCCGACCCCCTGCCATGGCAGGAAGAGCACGGGTCAAACGACCCCAGTAAGGTGGTCATCCAACCTCCTCTTAAAAACCCCCAGGGTGGGAGCCTGCACCACCTCGCCTCCCTTGGAAGCTGGTTCCAGACCCTAGCCGCCCTGACCGTGAAGTAGCGCCTCCTGATGTCCAAGTTCTTACAGATGTCTAA